AAAAATATTTTTTTTGTTCTAATTTAATTATTAAAAAAAAATTAAAATCTTCGGCTAACTTTAGTATTATTAAATTTCAATAATTTAAACATTTAAAAAAAATAAAAAAAAAATTTCACTTGTAAAAAACTGTAAGTGCAATTTTTAAAAAATATTTTTTTTGTTCTAATTTAATTATTAAAAAAAAATTAAAATCTTCGGCTAACTTTAGTATTATTAAATTTCAATAATTTAAACATTTAAAAAAAATAAAAAAAAAATTTCACTTGTAAAAAACTGTAAGTGCAATTTTTAAAAAATATTTTTTTTGTTCTAATTTAATTATTAAAAAAAAATTAAAATCTTCGGCTAACTTTAGTATTATTAAATTTCAATAATTTAAACATTTAAAAAAAATAAAAAAAAAATTTCACTTGTAAAAAACTGTAAGTGCAATTTTTAAAAAATATTTTTTTTGTTCTAATTTAATTATTAAAAAAAAATTAAAATCTTCGGCTAACTTTAGTATTATTAAATTTCAATAATTTAAACATTTAAAAAAAATAAAAAAAAAATTTCACTTGTAAAAAACTGTAAGTGCAATTTTTAAAAAATATTTTTTTTGTTCTAATTTAATTATTAAAAAAAAATTAAAACCGTCGACTAACTTTAGTATTATTAAATTTCAATAATTTAAACATTTAAAAAAAATCAATGTGATCAAGCGTCAGTTGACCCGTATCACGAGATTCCTCAGTAATTTTCCTACAAGGAAAATAAAAATAAAAAATTGATTGACTATAAAATTACCGATAATAAGTAGATAAACAAAATGACAGATGACAGATCTCGTATCAATGAAAACGATCTATAATTGCAAGGTCAAGTGGAGTAAAACCACATGCGTGGTCATTGACGCATCAGGTGTCAGTCACCTCTTCTAGTCTAGTCTGCACTAGTACTCTCAACATGCTGTTATTGCAACAGCACCGGCTTAGAGTGCATACACTACATACTACATGTGTAGTCTAGAGTAACAAGTTAAAGTAACTGATCTACTCACATTACTCTTGCACACGTGTCTTTTTCCTGAAGCTAGTACATCATCATCCGGATCTAATCCTTGTTATTACTCGATGAGCATCACGATTAAGATCGGATGCGACGGTGACAGCGATAGCAGAACAAAAACTCGAGAGTTCACTTCAAGCTACAAAAACGAAAAACAAATTATTAAATAAATTACACAGCACTTATATCATTTATGTCGAATAACTGTATAAGTTATTTAAAAGGCCATACATGTAACCTAAACTTACCGGTCACGACGTGAACTCCAGCACACGGTTAGAATCCTTTCACTTCCGTAGAACAAATTTATCGGTTTACACTTGTTAGTGTTTAGATTTTCTTAGAAAATAAAAAACAAACTTAAGTTTTTTTTTTTTATTTCTTCTTCTTCTGAGAAGAAATTATCAACCGGTTATTTTTAGCAGTGTCAAGTTAAATGTCAAACATCACTAACTCCGTTTTTCAAATAAACAAACTACCACGCATTTACTTTTACTATGAACGTTAACAACACGCTTATCAAACCACTCGGCTTCGCGGATCAGCTGCTACTATTACAGCGCGGCCAAACATCACGCGGATACCGCTCGAAACTAATGCCATCTACTACTTTGATCAAAACTAAATTTTATTCTTTTTTATTAAAAAAAATATAATATTGATTTTTGACATTAAAAATTTTTCAGTTTCACTTGGATTAATATTTTTGTTACTGAAAATTAAAATTTTTTTAATTTCAAGATTTTTTTTTAATTATCGGCAGGTAGGATGAAACTCTGTTTGACCATCATTGATTTAAAAATTTATTATTAATACTTGTAGTTTAAGTAAACAAATTATTACTTAACATGCTTGGAATTTAATTATTTAAAAAACAAGAATTCTCAAGGTAGATATACTCATGGATGTCTTTATCAAAACAAACAATTAATTTTTTTATTAACAAAACTGAATGAAAATTAAGTTAGCCGACATTTAAAAATTTTTAGAATTTTTTTTTTATTGAAAAAATGGTTACAAAAATTAAAAAAAAAATTTCACTTGTTAAGAATATGAAAAACTATAAGTGCAATTTTTTAAAAATATTTTTTGACTTATAATATAATAAATTAAACAAAATAAAAAAATCAAAAGTGTCGGATAACTTTATTATTATCAAAACTGAACAAGTCTATAAACTAGAAAATTTTCTTGATAATTTTTTAAAGTGACATATTTTTCAGAGGAAAATTTTCTGATAAAATTAATTTTTTTTTTTTTATTTCTCACTATATTTTTGGAAATTTAAATATTTTTAAATTGAATTTTTCCAAAAAATAAAAACAAATGGCAATATTGAATTTTCTTTGGAAATTTTTAAATATATTGGAAAAAATTCAAATTTTAATTAATCATTTAACAATTTCGAGGATTAAAAAAAATAAATTTACAAAGACAATAAAAAAAATACTTGTTAAATAAAAAAAAGAAAAACTATAATTGCAATTTTTTTTAATAATACGAAAGTTAGCCGACGTTTTTAATTTATTAAATTACAAGTAAAAAATGTTTTATTTATTTTTTAATTACTTGAGTAATTTTTTTAATTTTGTTATTTGTGCTGACGAAATTACACGTGTTTTCACGTTACACTGCACTGACATAACAACGGTAAGTAGAAATTGAGCTTATCGGTTGAGATTTTTAAAAATATTACTATAAATTTAAATTGCGCGCCTAAGTTTTAACCAATAAAAGACCGACGGACATTTTTTTCAATAGTCGATTTTTTTAGTAGATATATTTCTAGACTGACTAACTTCAATTCAATAATTAATTTTATTTTTTATTAGAGGAATGTGTTGAAATCACCAGATGCACTGAACCATTTTTTAGTTTTATTTAATTAATAAATTAGTACTAAGACAATTAATAATATTGAAGTTAGCCGTCAGCTGTCAATTTTAAAAATTTTTTTAACAAATCAATTACAATAAAAAAAATGCTTCTAAAAATTTTTACTTGTAATTTTTATTAACTTTTACATATGTGGAATTTTTTAATTAAATTTTTTTTTTATAATAATTTAATTGATATAAAATTCTAAAAAAATTTCTAATCTCTGTCAATTTCAGTATCATAGACAATATTACAAAAAAAAAAACGCATCCATAGTTTTTTAATTTTTTTTAAAGCTTGAAAATCAAATTTTTTTTTTTTATTTTCATTTCATAGTACTATTTTTTATTGAAATACTTATTGTTTATTCGGTAACTTAAGAAAATTATACTAAAGTAGCCGACGTTTTTAATATTTTGATTTTTTTCATTTATTTAATTAGATCTAATTCGCGAACTAAAAAATTCTTAAAAAAAATTGCACTTATAGTTTTTCAAGTTTTTTACATATGAAATTTTTTTTTTAATTATTTAATTGAAATTTTTTCAATAAAAAATTTCTAAAGATTTTGAAATGTCGGCTAACTTTATTTTCATAATTTTATTTATTGAAAAGATTATTAAAAAAAAATAAAAAAAAAATTTCATTTGTAAAAAACTTGAAAAACTATAAGTGCAATTTTTTTTAAGAATTTTTTAGTTCGCGAATTAGATCTAATTAAATAAATGAAAAAAATCAAAATATTAAAAACGTCGGCTACTTTAGTATAATTTTCTTAAGTTACCGAATAAACAATAAGTATTTCAATAAAAAATAGTACTATGAAATGAAAATAAAAAAAAAAAATTTGATTTTCAAGCTTTAAAAAAAATTAAAAAACTATGGATGCGTTTTTTTTTTTGTAATATTGTCTATGATACTGAAATTGACAGAGATTAGAAATTTTTTTAGAATTTTATATCAATTAAATTATTATAAAAAAAAAATTTAATTAAAAAATTCCACATATGTAAAAGTTAATAAAAATTACAAGTAAAAATTTTTAGAAGCATTTTTTTTATTGTAATTGATTTGTTAAAAAAATTTTTAAAATTGACAGCTGACGGCTAACTTCAATATTATTAATTGTCTTAGTACTAATTTATTAATTAAATAAAACTAAAAAATGGTTCAGTGCATCTGGTGATTTCAACACATTCCTCTAATAAAAAATAAAATTAATTATTGAATTGAAGTTAGTCAGTCTAGAAATATATCTACTAAAAAAATCGACTATTGAAAAAAATGTCCGTCGGTCTTTTATTGGTTAAAACTTAGGCGCGCAATTTAAATTTATAGTAATATTTTTAAAAATCTCAACCGATAAGCTCAATTTCTACTTACCGTTGTTATGTCAGTGCAGTGTAACGTGAAAACACGTGTAATTTCGTCAGCACAAATAACAAAATTAAAAAAATTACTCAAGTAATTAAAAAATAAATAAAACATGTAAGCAAAATATTAAAACTTCAAATCATTAAAAAAAAAAATTATACTTAATTTAATTTCATAAATTTCTGTTTCTAACCTCATTACTTAACTCTGTGAAAAAAAAAACATTAATTTTTAAAATTGATTTAAATTAGTGACAAAAAAATATTAGATAATTTTTTTATAAATAAATAAAAATTTTATTTAAAATAAATAATGGACTATGATATCCTATGCTTCAAGCACTGTAACTCCCAATCAATATTCTGCAAAGCAATCCCCGAAAAATGTCCCATCTGTCAGGTGGAACTAAAAAATTTATCAACAGAACCATTTGTCTTGCCGTACTGTTGCACAAAGGCGACAAATAACCCGGCTTCGATAGTACTGAAGCCTTCTGTTGGAACATTTTGCAACGACTACACCATCACAAAGGACATGCACATTGGTGTGGTTGATTCCCAATGCCAGTTATATGAATATGACCACCGCGGAATAATTCACAACAATTTTAACGACTGGACAGACTGCATTGTCATTAATAATTTAGTTCCCGAGTCTTGGTACTCCCACTGGGACAAAACGCTGTCAGATATTGTCATAAATCCTGCCTGGAGTTCATCAAACTACGACTCTGAAAAATTTAATTGTTACAATTTCATCATTGAGTTTCTTAAATTATTGAATTATGAAAATTTAAAATTTATTGATAAAGAGCATGTGTTTAATGAATTTTTCTTACCTAAGTTGCGTTATACATTAAAGTATATTTATATTTATAGAAAATTGAAGAATACTTGTTGTTACGTTGCTTGAAGAATAAGGAAAGAAGAAAATAAGCTGATGATGTCACTGAGGAAGATTATCAGGTCACCGTTGTTCATTACGAAGATTGAAAGGATAAAAATTGGGCATCGTGATATCCAGACGGCTAGTAGTAGTCATGAGAATAAGGATGATGGTAACAAATATGATGTTATTGTAATCGGTGGTGGACATGCTGGCACTGAAGCTTGTGCAGCTGCTGCGAGAATGGGTGCTAAGACCTTACTTGTTACTCATAAGAAAAGTACAATAGGTATTTTATTTATTTTTTTATATTTTAGCCTAATATTATGAACTTTTTAATTATTTATATTTGAAAAATTTAATTGATTCTCCTAAATTAATTAAAAATGTGAATTAAAGGATCATTCTGGTTCCGGCGCTTGAAAAAAATCAATATTCATTATTTTTGGTATTTATTTACAAGTCGGTTCAACCCTTGCTGGACCATGTTAAATTTTTTTTTTTTTAATTTTTTTTTTTTTATTTGTTTAAAGTCGCATAAACTACTAAGGTCATGAGCGACTACGGTAGGGGGTACACTTTTGAGATTGGAACTCGTTTGTATTTCTTGGGCTGAGCAGAATAATATACACTTAAATATTGAAAATATTAATTGGTGTACGCCGGATTCTCGAACCCGGTCCAATGCTTTGGTAGCAAGGGCCGGATCCGATAGGCTACTGCGCGCCCTTTTTAATTTTAATATTTAATTTTTATTAAAATATTATTCAAATATCTGTACATATAAAAATGAATAGCTGTGCGTTAGTCTCGCTAAAACGATTTTTTCTGAATTTTTATTTATTGTATGAGTCTTATAAAAAATCGCCAGCTTCAATGGGCCCTCGGAAGGATTTTTTCTGATTTTTTATATAATAAGGGTAAAACTTTGTGGTGGCTGGAGGGGTAGTTCCGGGGCAGCAAATGCCTTGGTTATTTTTTATATTGTGTGGGGGTATTGTATGAGTCTTATAAAAAATCGCCAGCTTCAATGGGCCCTCGGAAGGATTTTTTCTGATTTTTTATATAATAAGGGTAAAACTTTGTGGTGGCTGGAGGGGTAGTTCCGGGGCAGCAAATGCCTTGGTTATTTTTTATATTGTGTGGGGGTATTGTATGAGTCTTATAAAAAATCGCCAGCTTCAATGGGCCCTCGGAAGGATTTTTTCTGATTTTTTATATAATAAGGGTAAAACTTTGTGGTGGCTGGAGGGGTAGTTCCGGGGCAGCAAATGCCTTGGTTATTTTTTATATTGTGTGGGGGTATTGTATGAGTCTTATAAAAAATCGCCAGCTTCAATGGGCCCTCGGAAGGATTTTTTCTGATTTTTTATATAATAAGGGTAAAACTTTGGGGTGGCTGGAGGGGTAGTTCCGGGGCAGCTAATGGCTTGATGATTTTTTATATTGTGTGGGGGTATTGTATGAGTCTTATAAAAAATCGCCAGCTTCAAAGGGCCCTCGGAAGGATTTTTTCAGAATTTTTTTTTAATGTCATAAGTGTTTGGGGTGGCTGGAGGGGTAGTTCCGGGGCAGCTAATGCCTTGGTGATTTTTTATATTGTGTGGGGGTATTGTGGGAGTCCTACAAAAAATCGCCAGCTTCAAAGGGCCCTTGGAAGGATTTTATCTTAAATTGTTTTTTCCAAGTGTAAGTTTTTGGGGTGGCTGGAGGGGTGGTTTTTGGGTTTGGAGGAGCTAATATATCATTTTTAGGGCTCACTGTCTCTATTCGAAACTGAAAAACCATTTTCAGTTTCAGGAGCAAAAAAAATTTTTTTTTGATTTTCGTTCATAAATGAACGTTCGGAACTTCAGGTACATGCTAAAACTAAAAAACGACTGGACTGATTTCAACAATTTTCTTTTTGTTTTGTTCGCTATAGTTCAGGAATGTTTTCAAAAGAATAAAATCTTTGAAAAACCCGAAAGTTCAGCTAAGGAAATCAACAGATCTAAAATTTTTAATCGTCTATAGATATATCTTCTGTATATATGGACAAAAAAAAATTCATAAATTTAGTGCTCATCTTTTGGAATCTTGATTTTCAAGCGATAATCAGAAGCGAGTTTTATTTAATAACTTGACAAAATTCTAACCGCACTTCATGCAGCCAGAATTTATTCTTTATCGAAGTAGATTAGAGTTTGAAGGTTGATAATCGCTGTTCGAAAGGTGTAATCAAATATATTGTAGGGGATACGAAGTTCACCGGGTCAGCTAGTTGTTGTTAAAATATTAATTTTATTAAAATTAAAAATTTTTTTTTTTTTCAATTGTTTAAGCCAAAATTTTTTTTAACTTTTAAAGGCAAAAAAGCCATAGAAATCTTCATTTTTTCCTTTGACGAGATTTTTTATCATAAATGCGCCGTAAAAACAAGCAGAATCAAAAAAAAAATTAAAAAATGTTAATTTTTCACCTAGTTATGACCCAAAATGGGGCTGACCCCACTTGTAAATAATTACCTAATTTTTTTACTCAGAAACTATTATAAATATTGGTATAAAATTTATTCAACTCAACAGATACACTCTTGAACAACACAGAAAATATCTAGCTTCATTTTTTTTTATATTTCTTATATGAATAAACAACGGGTGAATAGAGCTCCTCCAAAAGTTGGTATAAAGCTGATGTACATGATAACTTAATAACAGCTTATCTAAAACAAAAAAACCAAAATTATTTACCTTCAATACATGAATAGCTATTGTATTAGTTACGGAGATTAATATTTATTGATAAATAACAAAATAGCGGAAATTAAAAAAAAGAAACTGAAAAATAAGGCTTTTTTTCACAGATTAGAGTCTTAAAAAAATAGTAAAAATCAAAATTTTGATTTGATTGTATCTGATTCAATAGCTAGTACTACGTGAAATTAGTGGTTTAAATTTTATTAAGATCGAGTCAGTAGTTTTGGAGATATCATGTACGTCAACCAGAAAAACATAGTTCTGAGATAAACGCGTTTAAAATTTCTTTAATTATAAAAAAAAATCTTACCTAAAGTCAATCAGCGATGCCAACACCATACAAAATCTCTTCAGTATTTTCAAAAATTAGATTTTCTTCCACTCGAACATCCACATAAACATCGTAAAATAACATAGTTACAGTGATCCGATCATTTATCAATTTCAATACAATACTTGTAAATATTGTACAAAATATGTATTTTCGAAAAATGTAAAAAAAAAATAATTTTTCAATAGTTACAAACCAGAATGATCCCTTAAATTTTTTTTATCTGATGAATTTAAAAAAAAAAAATCATAAAACTTATTGTCAAATAAAAATTACTTGATTTTATTTAATTGATGTTTTTAAAGATAATTTATTAATAATTTTTATGAATTTTTTCAGGTGAAATGTCCTGTAATCCATCATTCGGTGGGATAGGCAAAGGAAATTTAGTAAGAGAAGTCGACGCGCTTGATGGTGTCTGCAGCCGAATTTGTGATGTTTCTGGAGTGCATTATAAAATATTAAACAAACGTAAAGGACCAGCTGTATGGGGCCTCCGAGCTCAAATTGATCGTGATCTCTACAGAACAAATCTCCAGGCGGAATTATTTAACACTCGAGGGTTGGAGATACGTGAGTCCTCAGTCGAGGATCTTATTCTACAGCGCGATTCAAACAAATGTTGCGGTATTATTTTAAGTAAGTTTTAGTCACGAAATACCTGAAAAAAAAAATTCACCAGTAAATTTTTACGAGGAAAATTATTCAGCTCATTTTTTTCTTTTTTAAATTTATCGACCGCGTGACTTAGAGCTAAAGGTAGTATGCAGTGTCAGAAATATAAAATTTTTATTAGTAATAAAAGAATTACTTTCAAGTAGTAACAATTTTATGACAAAGAACGCAAATGCATTTTTTTGCAATGGTAGTTTTATTTTATTCTACAAAAATTTTAGCTTTAAAATTAAATAAAATTAAAAAAAAAAATTAGTTATTATTATCAACGTAGGTACCCTCGGGTAATATAGTATAGTTAAGAGATATTTGTAATGATGAAAAATTATCGATAAATTTTTTAGTTAGTCATTATTTATGAATATTTTCCTAAGATATAAAAAGAATATTGTGTTTCATTTTTTAAATACTAAAAATGCTTAAACTATTTGAAATATAAGCTCTAATTTAAAAATTTTTTTTTAAATATCTAATTCTATTATTTTTTATGATAAAAGTTAGCATTTTATAGGACAATATTTTGTATTGTACACCATTCAATATGTATTTTTCAAATATCTGCACTGAAAAAAAAATTAACTTCATTCAAGAGAAAAATTCTTGAATTAAGAAAATAATTTTAAAGAGGAAAATTGTCTTGAATCAATACGAAAAATTCTTGAATCAAGTAAAATTTCCTTAAATCAAGAAAAATTTATTTAATTTAAGTATTTTTCTACGCAAATCAAGAAGATTTTTTTTCTGTATGTATTTTCTGGTAATCTATATTATTAAGAGAATACGCAAAATTTTGTAGTCAGAGTATTTATATGATAAAATGGGTTATTATGGTTAAATTTGGTATTATATCATGGTTTCATATCATTCTCACCAATAATCAATTTATTATGATTATTTAGACTGCATTCGAAAATGCTCTATCTCTAGATACATAATCAAGAAATTACCTTGTATCTCGTGAACTATTGACATTTTAAAAGATATAAGCTCATTTTGACATTATACTCATCGAGACCTTTCATTAGAGTACCCACATCAATTTTTCATATATTTATATATTTTATATATATGTATATATGAAAAATATATCAAAATGCATATGGGTACTCAAATGAAAGCTCTTGATGAGTGTAACGTTGGGATAAGCTTATATCTTTAAAAACGTCAATAGTTAAAAAAGTACAGTGCAATTTAACCAAAGTCATTATTTAATAAGGCAAAATTTTATTCACTTATAGTTCACAAGTCACGGCAGTCACATAGTGACTGCAAGGTTGCTAGTAAATTATTATTATTATTATTATTATTATTTTTTAACAAAAACTCTTTAATATATTTCAGAAGACGGTACAAAAATATTCAGTGAAACAGTTGTAATAACAACGGGAACTTTTCTAAAAGGACAAATAAACATTGGCTTAGAAAAGCGTCCAGCTGGAAGAATAGGCGACGAACCAAGTATAGGATTAGCAAACACTTTGGAAGACCTGGGTTTTCGAATGAGCCGGTTGAAAACAGGAACCCCGCCACGATTAAAGAAGTCAACCATAGACTTCTCAAAGTGTGGGATTCAAGTTCCAGACGAGATACCAGAGCCATTTTCATTTATGAATGAGCGTGTGTTGATAAATCCCAGTGACCAGTTACCCTGCTATATAACTTATACAAACGAACGAGTCGCTCAAATAATTAGGGATAATATGCACTGCAATAGTCATGTCACAGAAGAAGTAACTGGTCCGCGTTATTGCCCAAGTATTGAAAGTAAAGTATTAAAATTTAAAACGTCAGGCCACCAGATCTGGCTGGAACCAGAAGGATTGACGTCAGATATTATCTATCCTGGAGGATTGTCATGCACATTGCCAGCAGACAAGCAGCAGGAACTGGTTAATTGTATACCAGGATTAGAAAAAGCTGAAATAGTGCGTCCTGGTTACGGAGTCGAATATGACTTCATCGACCCCCGGGAGCTAACTTACGAGTTGGAAACTCGAAGGATCCGCGGACTGTTTTTGGCTGGACAGATTAACGGCACGACTGGCTACGAAGAAGCTGCTGCGCAAGGAATAATTGCTGGTGCTAATGCTGCGGCTAGAGTTCTTAATAAACCAGCTCTGATTGTCGACCGAACAGAAGGTTACATCGGTGTTTTAATTGACGACTTGACGTCTCGAGGAACAACAGAACCCTATCGTATGTTCACAAGTCGCGCGGAGTTCCGTGTAAGTCTCAGGCCGGATAACGCTGACCTGAGACTTACGGGCAAGGGGTTCAGAACCGGCTGCGTGTTGACAGAACGCATGGAGAAGACCTCCAAACTAAAAGAAAGGTTGCAAGAAAGTATGCATCTGCTTGGATCTATTTCTAAAACTAACAAAGAGTGGTCGGAGTTATTTGGAATCAAAAGAGTTAAAGATAACAAGGTTAAGAGTGGGTTTACTCTTTTATCAAGTAATTTTTATGATCTTGAACTTGATGACTTTGTTAAAAAAATTCCAGAGATGTTTGGAAAATTTGCGGGAGACAAAATATTAGCACGTCGTGTTAAGGTACTTAGAGTTTTGATATTTTCTATTAAATTAAAGTTCTTAATAATTATAAAAGTTTTTCAAAATTTTTTTCTTGTAATTTTCAATTTTGTAGAATTTTTTTTAATACCTATCTATTTTTTTATTAACAAATTTTTTTTTTTAATATCTATTTTTTTGTTAACGAATTTACATTTTTTTTATTTATTCTATTTTTAGTGAACTTAAAGAAAAAATTGTATCATTGTTAGAAAAAAATTCGGTAATTATTTGCAAGTGGGGTCCACCATTTTAATTTTCATTTTTTTGAACAAAATTTTTTTTTGAAAATTTTGATATATATTTTTTTTTTAATACATAAAAAAATTATCAATTAAAAAAAAAAAGTTAATTACCACAATTTTAACAAATTTTTTTATAATCAACTTTTTTATTTCAAATTGTTCGGTATGTACTTTTCAAAAAAAAAAAAATATGCAAAAAAATAGAAATTTTATCCAAAAATATGAGCCAAAATTTTTTCCAACTTTTGAAGGCAACAAAGCTATTAAAATCTTTATTTTTTTCTTTCATGATATTTTTTATCATAAATTCGCCGTAAAAATAAGTAGGTAGAATAAAAAAAAAAAATAAAAAATGTTAATTTTTCACCTAGATACCCTAATAGCCACCTTAACTCAAACTTTTATTCAATCTACTGTCGAAATTTGTAGTCAACTTGATGGAAAGAGTTTGCAAACCAAACGGTTTTAGTTAAGTTGTCTGAAAGTTACTTTGCAAATTGACGTCAAGACTTGCAATGCAAGTATTTTAGTCAAGTTGTAGTGAAGTTGAAAGGATATTTAACCAAAAGCTTGGTGTTAACTTGTATATATATATATGGCCGAAAATAGGGTGGAGTCCACTTGTAAATAATTACCAAAAATTCTTGATACTATTTGTATTCTTTAAATTATTGTTAACCACGAAACTAAATAATTATAAACATCATATACTTAATTTAAAAATTTTTAATACTAATTTTATAAATAATATTTCAGATCGAAGTCAGCTATGATTATTGTATTCAAGAGCAGTTGATAGAAGTTGAAGAAGTGCGCAAACATGAAAAAATGCTGATACCCTTAGACTTTAATTATGAAAAGTACGTTAAGTAATTACTAATTAATTAAAAACTTTAACATTATGAGAATGTAATTAATTGAAGCTATTTCTATTATGTTCAGGATCAACCTTTCGACGGAAGACAGAGAAAAACTCACAGCTATGCAGCCGCAAACGGTAAATATTATCGTTAAATCAGTGCGTTAATTAAAAGCATAATTTTATAATTGATAAATAAATTGCAGGTTGCTGCGGCGACTAGAATACCTGGAGTTACACCAGCAGCGACGCTGAGAATTGTTAAACATCTTCAACAGATTAAACGCAATGTATATAATAGAAATTAATTATTATAAAAATTAAATATTTATATTAATTGTTTTAAATGGAATTTTTATAATTATGTAAGAAGAATTTAAAAGTTAATTAGTAATCCCTGATTAAAAAAAAGTATTGAAAAGTATTGAAAAAGTATGTAATTACTTTTAAATTGCACAGTTTTACAAATTAAATTTTTTTTTATTTTTTTGTAATAGGGTAAATGCACCAGTTGTTGACCGGTCACCAATTAGTTGACCGATGTATAAAAAAGTTAATTAATTAATATTTTACAAGGGTTTTTTTTTCTTAAACTATTAAAATAAAAATATATGGCATTTAATCATCATAATAAAAAATTACGCAATTAATTGCGCAGTGATTATAGCTTTAAAAAAATATTCTGAGTTTGTTTACAACGCAACCAGCCATAAAGCGGTCAAAAATAACTACCGTACAATTGGAGAGTGAGTGCATTTCATCATTAATTTAGTGATATTTATCGGCATAATATAAAATATTTTAATTTTATTATGT